AAAATAGTATGGGTAATGATGAAGGCCACTATATAATCATAGGTTAAACCCTAGACCCTAAAGCTCCTAAAGCTGCCTGAAGAAAAGGAGCCTTTCAGCAACCTCGCGGAACGCAGAAAGTTACACCACATTTCGCAACTACCAAGACGAGTTCATGGTTGGGATTGTATTAAACACGCAACTTTCAATTCCTTATTGAGTTTAATTAAGTACCTCTCCAACTGCAACATGTTACCCAACGATGACAGAGAATACACCCTAAACCCTAAACCCCTATACCCTTTCTATACTCCCAAGACAGGTGCCCCTAAACCCCTAAAGCCTTTCGATCCTCCCAAAACACGTGCCTGAACAAGTCTGGCTTGATCCCGGTGCACGCTTTCTCGTGGAAGCGGGACTGGCCAAGCAGTACGGCTCGGGGTCAGGGGCTTGGGGCTTAGCTCGGGCTTTAGGGTTTTAAGTGATGGGGTTTAGGGCCTTGCGGGTAAAAATATATGAGTTACGGGCTGAGGAACTAGGGTTTCGGGATGACGTTGCCGGGCGACGAAGCTCGAGGCTTTATTGATGCTGCGTGCTACAGGAACTCTCCAAGTTAGGGCGGCCGCGCTTTCCCCGTGGTCTTGGTTTGCTGAAGGAAACCCAAGCCTTTCCAACACCTTGCAATTCCTTGCGCAATCCTGGTAAAACTTCCAACTGTTCAAAGCCCCGAAGCCCTAAATCATACCGGGTCGGATATGCTCGCTGCTAGGCTGTGTCGTGATTTCGCAGGAAGCATGTCCGACCATACTCGATATCGGCTGTAACTCAAAACGGCTTGACTCCTTTCTCTGCAGATGCACTCCCCGAATCTGCACATGAGGCCCGTCCGAGCAGGACTTATCCCTCCTGCGATGCCTCCGACCCCTCATCCTCGTCTTGCACTTTGAAGTGCTCGACAGGACGAAAATCCCTCAGCTGCACACAAGCCTCTAGCAGGGCTGGGCGCAGAGGCGGCTCCTCCAGCTCCCGGCGCACGAGCGAAGCCAACCCACCACCTTCACACCGTACTGCACCAGCGCACGGACTTCCCTGAAGTTCGCCGACAGCATGTGTGGCACTTGGCTCAATGCCACATCACGTGTGAAAGACTGATCCATCGGCTTGCCAGCAGGCTTCACCTGAGCATCAGTACCGGCGCCTGTGTATCAGGGATACGGATACAAGTCTGAAGTGTTTATGGGCTTGGGCCAACGTTATGACAACTACAGCCTGCAGGACCAGCGCGTTCCGGCGTGCAACAGCAGATTCTCAGGAAATCTGCGGCTGTCCAGCTCGAGCAGCGACGCGAATGCAGCGGAGATCACCTTGTTGCTCTTCTTGGACCGCGTGATCCTTTCAGCAGTCACTTCCACCGGCTTGGACACTTTGACCTTCTTCTTGCCAGTCGCAGACTTCTCAGCAGCATCATGGTTGAGCTCACGCCGAGCCTTGGCACCAGCTTCTGTTAAGGAGACCTTGATGCGGTCACTTCCGGCAGGCTTCTCGGTAACTTCAAGCTGCATGCCCACCTGAAAGTTTGAAATGGAAGCTAACCCAAACATTCGTGAAGTGGTTGTGGGACAGTACGACAATGTGCGACGCCATGGCCAGTTAGCCAGCGGTGGAAACGCCTCTTGTTGATTCTGGTGGGCTATGTTTCTCTTTGCATCCAGGAAACGACACCCCACATGCTCCGATTTGCGGCGGGCTTCGGTCACAGGATGCTTCGTGATGAGGATGCGCGGAACACGCCGGAGGTTCAGCTCTGCATCGAAGACCATCTTGCCAGCAGACCTGAGGAGGCAATGAACCTGCCAACGTCACTTACACATGGTTTAGGAATGTTTGGGAGAAGTGAAAGTCAACTCACTCACTCTCTGCCGTGCTAGTGCCTGCATGTCAAAGACTCTCACCCCTGAGTCTGAGCAAGAAGCGAGCCAGATACTCAAGGGACCGAGTGTGGACGCTTGCAGACCCGCATCGCTGTTAGTATCAGGTATGGGTTCGCCCCCACACCCGGAAAATTCAGTGCTGGTATCGTTTTGAGTACTGGGTATCGGTTTCCCACAACACAGAACTTTGTGCTCCTGTGGTAAAGTACCGCATCAACGAGGCCCATATAAAGCCAGTATTGAGAACAGGAGATGCAAAATGATGTCTTCTTGGTTCGTACAGTACGGTGAACCAGTATGTCTCGCCCGGACCCCCACCCAAACCCCAAACCCGCCTGAAACCCATCGTGGCACCTGCAGCACTAGTAGTGCAGGTGCAGCAAAGCAGCAGTGGTAGCTAAGAGCAGGCAAGCCTTGACCGGCAGGCGTGGGGGCATGATTCAGTTCACCTCTTCAGGGATCGAGATTTGGGCTAGCCAGACTCAATGAACGCTTCAAAATGACTGGCTTGCCCCGCCACCCCGCTGCCCCCTTCCCGCAAAAGCGCCGGCCCCGCCCCGCTAGCCGCGCCTCGCCTGCTCTGCCCTGATAATTAAGACGCATATTTGGCATTTTAGAACCCAACGATTCAAAATGACTGGCTTGCAACTTGTTTCGACCCGCTCCGCCCCGCCCCGCCCCGCCACCCCGCTGCCCCCTTCCCGCAAGCGCCCGCCCCGCCCGCGCTAGCCGCGCCTGGCCCGCTCTGCCGTGTGGCGCCCCAACTGTTTATCAGATCCCGGGGCGAGGCGGGCGCTTGAGATAGCCACCAACAACACATTTACGAAAAGCCTTGACTTCCACTGGACATCTGAGACGAATCCTAAAACTCTTCAAAAATTCAAGTATCGCTGCTTACACAAAGATTCAAATTCTGATTTTGTAGATACTGTGGATGAGATGAAGCAGCGCAATGCGTAAGGCGCCTACGTCGTTATGGAAGGTCCCAGGCTCAAGCCCTCTAGGTGTCGCATAGCAAGTGCTCTGAGACTCTGGTGGATGCTGGACATTTCTTAAATGCCATGTCCACTTAAGAAATGTGTGAGACTCTGGTGAGGGGATGTGGTTTTCTAAACATAAAGTTCGACCGTAATATAAATATATATAGAATATATATATATATACCACACATATAATCAGCATCGGACATACACGTGGTTAGGGTCGGACATGATATGCTCCTCTCACCATGTCGGACCCTCTCAACTTGAACTGCCGGGAGACACCATCCCGGACCCTGAGAAAAACGAGGGTATCCTGAATCTGACCTAAACCCTCAACCCTAAAGCTCTCAACCCTAAACTCCCTCAAGCCCTCAACCCTAAAGCCCTTAAGCGTAAAGCTCCTAAAGCCCTCAGCCTTAAAGCCCCTAAAGCCCGTAAGCACCACCTCCGCGATCAAAGAAGAGCCGAAAAGGTCCCAGATACCGACCTGAGGGGTCGAAGGCTGGTTGCTTCTCTTTGGGTTTAGGGTTTAGGGTTTTAGGGTTTCAGGTTTAGGGCTTAGGGCTTAGGGTTTAGGGTTTCGGGGGTGGGGTTCAGGGTCAGGGTTTAGGGTTCAGGG